CTGGTTTAGCGCGGTGTTGTTCGATACATTAGAATCTCTTTGATTAATAAATTCCAAAACGGAAATTATACACTAATTACTTAGAGCTAGAAGAAAGGGCGAATAGCGTAAACAAAAAATATATATTGACATTGAAAGGTTATAACTTGTTTGAAATTTCTTTGATGATCGAATTCTATTTCAGACGACTTTCGTAATTATAAATGTCAGTTGCTATAGACACTGTAGTAACTGAAGCGTTGATGCCGTCGCCTGGCTATATATATATATATATATATACATATATATATATTATTGATCTTTGCGTAGTTTATTTTTGTTCCTTTGGTTGCCCTCCCCCATCCCCGCAGTGAGCTAGCGGTAAGTTTACAGATTTAAAAGGCTAAAATGTGGGTTCGATTCTCCGCGGTGGACAGAGCGCATATAGTCTGTTGTGTCGTTTTTAGCTAAAACAACTTGTCCTTTGGTTAATTCTGTTTTAGATTTTATGTTTTAGCGCTAAAGTATTATAAAAATAAGTGTACTCTAATACAAGTTCTATATATATATATATGACTACTGAATTACAAATTGTTTGCTCGATTACTTATGTATAAAAATGAAAAAGCCACAATTTTAACCATCATGGAAACAAGCAACTATAAAGAAAGGAAAACTGGTGATAACGTACCATTTACAAAGAAGTATATGACAGTATAAGCGAAAATCATTGTTTAATTAGAAATTCCCTGGAAGTCTTTTGTTGTTGTTCATTATAAAAACTTCAGTACTAAAATATTAATTCTTGTGATACATATATATATATATATCTATATTGTATATACATACACGTCATTGTGTTTAAAACGCTCATGATATACCTAACATTTTGAAAACAGATATGGTATTTATTGATGAACCTGTTGAAAATTTTCCAGTTCCTTTTACAATCGATAAGCTCAGCGGTAAGTCTGCAGGCTTACGACGTCAAAAATCGGGTTTCGATATCCGTGTTGGGTAGAGCACATATTGTGTATCAAACTAAGAAGCCAAACCATCGACAACTATGCCTTGGATATATAAAAGATCTACTTTTTGGTATTGGATGGTGTAAAAATTACTATTTTTTTCATGATATATTGTTGCGTCAGCGAGATCACGTGACTATTGTCACGCCACCTGCTTTCTAGAAGTATCTTGTTCCTTCGTGAATGCCCTAGCATTTACTAGATATATGTTTGTCTGGTATATAAATAAGACGCTCATAACGTGACGGGACAATGTGTGTAGGTAGTGAGTAATTGTTCTGCAGTCACGGGATATTGTTGAAGTTAACGTTCGTTTGTTATAGTGTTAGTTATAGCTCGACTGTTGAAATTAAGTGTATCATAAAGTTATATTCGGAAAGAATAAACCAGTTTTATTAAGTAAGGACTTGTGTCGCTAAAGTTTCGTCGGAACGAAGTTACGGAAAATTAATTAACAAACGGAGACGTAACAATATTAAATATATTGTCTGTTTCTTTAGCCAATGATATAACTATGGAGTGTGGATCCAATTGACTTTTTAAACACATTTTTCTAAACCGTTTATGCGAGTCACCCAAAAAAAGTGGCTCAGCGATAAGCTTCAGGGCTTATAACACTAGGTGAGATACCCACAGTGGGCACATTACATTGTGTAACTTTACAGTTAAAAACAAACAAACAAAAGCACCATCAATATTTCAGTTAATCCAACCAACCAATTACTGCTGGACTACCATATTTATTTTATGAAGGAAGTGATGAATCTCACCATTTTATTTTCATTCAGTTCTCTACGCTGAATGTTGTAACAGTCTAAAACGTAAAATTACTCAATATGATGTGATATGTGGACCTCATTAATGATAATGAAGGTATAAACACAAATCGGTAAATTGAGGGTTAAAGTCTATCATGTAAAAAATGTATACTCACTCTTATTTGAAATTGTATTTTTTAACATTTAACAAGGGTTGGTCGTTATATAGTGTATTATACGTAACGAACATATAAGTATTAACTTTCAATTATAATATAGTTTAGCATTCAATAATATTTCTCAGTGACACGTGTCAGAATCACGGCGCTACGATGAAATCAATGCTAAGTGGAGTTTGATGGTCACTGATAATAAGTCCATATTCAAGAGAGGTGAATGAATGGTCGTTGTTGTTATTTGCGTATAAATTGGCAACAGAAACACTTAGACCTTACATATAAATTGTCGTCGGTAGTTTGTCAGTGTATTTAAAGGGTGATAATTATCTTTTGATTAATTGTTTCTAAAATATCAACAGGTATTACATTATAATTGACCATCTATACAAGTGTAAACAGTGGTGAAAGTAACTTCAATTTTATACCGGTACGTTGGTGGTGTTTGCGCTCCTTTTACTTACCCACCCATACACAGTTTGTACAAATCAACGCAGCTAATTTATGGTGACCGAAACTTCAATGTTTGAATATAAGTATATTAATTACTACAGATAACAGAAAGAAAAGCCAATTTAAGTTTGATTTGAAGACACATTTTTATTTGGAATGGAATGAAGAATAGCACTTTAATCACGTGTACGTGTTCAGTCTGACTGGGAGTAGAACCTGAAGCACAGAGTGTTTTACAATAATGTAACAGAACAACCAACAATATTGGTAAAAACAAACGTTATGATAAGTCGAAACATAAAATGACCTTGAAAAATGATTTGCTGGTACCACGTGCTGTTACAAGCATTCTTTTTTTAACCACTGAATCGTTTACAAAAATACATATATTGTGTAATTAACCCATTGATATAAAACCTTCGTATGAGTGAGAAATACTATAGACAAAACTGCAATTTGAGAAAAAAAAAGAAAATAACGATTAAGCCAGTAATCTACGAAAAATGAAGAAATAAATATTTCATCACCTTCAAAACATTAAATTTTGTTATTTAAGTTCAAAAACTTTCTTTACAAATACATTTATGGCTTCCAAAGACATTGATTAAAAAAGTATAATTGCATCGTTTCCCGTTGTTATATTTCCAGACTGTTAAAATGATTTTTAAAGTAAAACTAGAATTAACTAGAATTCTTAGACATAGAACAATGCATACATGTTAGTGTCTGTCTCTGTAGTTTGAAGTGTGTATTACTGCATATATTGCATTTCAAAGTTTTACAACCCTAATGTTTAATATTCTCATGGTTATGCTGCTGATGTGTTTCTAATTTGTCAAATCATTATTTTTTCATCATGATATTGTTTAATTATTGACAGATAGTTGTATATACTATGTTACATTAATACAACAAGATTTTAGTGTTGTTACGTCTCCGTTTGTTAATTAACTTTCCGTAACTTCGTTCCAATGAAACTTTAGCGACACAAGTCCTTACTTAATAAAACTGGTTTATTCTTTCCGAATACAACTTTACGATACACTTATTTTCAACAGTCGCGTTATAACAACTATAATAACGAAAGAACGTTAACTACAACAATACGTCTCTCTCTGACTGCAGTTCAATTACTCATTACCGCGTCACGTTGTCACCCTCTTATATATACCAGACTACCCTATCTAGTAAATGCTAGGGCATTCGTGAAGGAACAAGATAGTTCTAGAAACTAGAGGGCGTGAGAATAGTCACGTGATCTCGATGACGCAACAATATGTTCTGAGGTTTGATTATTTGTGGTGCTAAGTACGGAATATTTAATGTATTTTCCACATAATAATCTTATGTTGCACTTATTTCCACTGCTGACCATCTTCGTGTTAACAGCGCTTAATGCAAGATAAAATTATTAGATTTCTTTAACATTTTTTTTTATTCCAGTAATT